ATATGTATATATCCCATATCTCTTGGAGCTTCTGTTTTACAGAGAAAGATGGTAAAATATATAGTATGCAAACTGATGAAGAAAACAAGTTAGAGGTTACAAAGACATTATAATCAGAGATGGGAGCTCCAAGTTCAAGACCAAAGAACCAGACTGGTGTTCTGTGATTCTGAGTGTTGAGAGGGCTTAGAAAGGGTTTAGGAGCCACAGTAGTGCAGTGGTTAAGTGTTTAGCAGTGAACTGAAAGATCAGCAGTTTGAATTCACCAGCCACTCCGTGGGAGAAAGATATGGTAGTTTGCATCCATAAAGATTACAGCCTTGGAAACCCTACAGGGCAGATCTACTACAGGGTCACTACAAGCCGGAATCAACTCCACAGAAATGGGTTTGGTGTTTTTTGGTATTGAGGGTGTATAAATAGCCTTGTAACAAGTACTATTACCCATGCTGTGTTGTTGTTAAGTGCCGTCGAGTCGTTTCCGACTCATAGCGACCCCATGCACAGCAAAACTATTACCCATAGACAAGGGAAAAAGATGCACATTTTACTACAGAGTCACTGGTTTGGGTTGTAATACTTCATCTCTTTAAGATTATGCCTTTTTCTTTTTCCAATCTAGTAATTTCTGGGACTAGACAATTCTTATGTCCTGAACTGTGTGGGACTTTCAGATGTTCATTGGTATTAACAGGAACTGAGAAAAAAAGCAAGACATTTATCTGGGAGGGGTTTGGGCTACTTAAACTTGTACACTGAGCTAGAGTCTAATATCAAGACCCCCCCACACACACACACACACACAATGTGATGATAAAGGTGCATACAAAAATACAAGCCAAACTAATCTATACCTTCTCTATTGAGGTAGGGCCTGGATATAGGTAATGGCAAGGACCTCAGGGTACGGCCCTACCTGAGGCATAGTGGAACAGCAGAGATCTAGAACTGCAAAGTAATGACACTATATGAGACACTGTTGTAGATGTTGGAGTCCTCAGGCATTACAGCTGAAGAAGAGGTAGACAAGTAACTCACAGGATGACTGAGGTGGTCCTAGAAGGTGATAGTGGTTGGTAGAAGGATCTTGAGAAGACAGCATATCCCAAATATTGAGAACCTGACTGATGGTGAAGTCAGAAGATCTAGGAGATCAAAGAGCAAAGCGATCTTCTCTCTATTTCACCCTTCTACAAGGACAGGCTGTGATGGGAATATGGGTAGGTGATGGGAATATGAGTAGGTGGGACACATAATCCTCTGGGGAAACCTGTAGATGATGAGGGTGAGATTAAAATATGCTTGAGTAGACTGGAGCTTCGGTACAGAGATGTGACAGGGCTGCCCTCTACAGCTGAAGGGGGCTATCAAGAGAGAGAAATGAGGAAGAGTTGGGTGGGATGGAGATCTGTAAAGAAGCAACAATGCAGCTTTTACCTGAAATGATAGGTGTGGGTAAGACAGAATAATGAGTGAAGCTGTAGATTGAGAGGAGGAATGGAGGCAAAGCTTTGTTAACGCAGGGAGAGAAGGCCCAAACTCCATATTCACTCATCCATTCATTCCTTTATTCCCTCATTCTCTGAATAAGTACTTATTGCATGCCCACTATGTAACAGGCTACCTGGAAAGTGTGTCAGGACTTCTAGAAGAGCCAAGTGCAAGTTAGGGTTATCAGGGAGGGGTGGAAGGGAGGAGGAAAGAAGGACTTACTTCCTATTACCAACTTATTACTGAGCTTCATATGAAAAGTAATGGGAAAATTTGAAAATGGTAATGTACAACATGATAAACATAATGTCACTAGATTGTACATGCGAAGAATGTTGAAATGGTAAACGTTTTGTTACATATACATTTAACCAAAGGATCTCTGGTGGCACAATGGTTAGGGCATTTGGCTGCTAACCAAAAGGTCAGCAGTTCAAATCCACCAGCTGCTTCATGGGAGAAAGATGAGGCAATCTGCTTTGGTAAAGAATTACAGCCTTGGAAACCCGATGGGGCAGTTCTACTCTGTCCTATGGGGTTGCTATGAGTGGGAATTGACTTGACAGTAGTATATTTGTTTTTTTAATATTTAGCCAAATCAAAAACCAAATTCATTGCCATCAAGTTGATTCCAACTCATGACAACTCCATGTGTGCAGAGTAGATCTGCTCCATAGGGTTTCTGCAGGTTGTGTGACATTTAGGGAGGAGATTGATTGCTTGGCTTTTCTTCTGAGGTGCCTCTGAGTGCATTCAAACCATCAACCTTTCAGTTAGTAGTCAAGTGCTTAACTGTTTGTGCCACTGAGGGACTCTTTATATATATTTAGCACAATAAAAAATAATTAAAACAAAAGAAAAAAAGTATGCTAGGGACAAAATCCTTCTCCATAATGGTCTGTAGGAATGAAAACTTCCTATGGTTTCTGTTCTTGTCCATTTGGAGGAGGAACCTCATTAGTGCCACCTGCCCACAGGCCAGAGCTGTGGCAAACACCTCCAGCTTTCCAACCCACAAGGAAGTGCTACTATAGGAGAGCAAGCGACCTCTGGAGGAAGCAGAGGTTGATATTAGGAGCATGGTGAGAACATGGAGTCACTTCCCATCCTGACCACTTTCCTCTCCTAATAACCTTCTCCCAAAAAATAGAGAAAGAAGCATAAGCAATAAGAAGGCTCAAACTAGCAAGAAGAAAGTACCATTATAGTTTGTACCTACTACTTTATCTCCATAGGTAATTATGAGTGGAGAAGGTGTTGGGAGAGGTTTAAGCTTATTTTTCAAGGACTCCAAAGACTATGCCTCTGGCTCCTCTACTTAAAAATGAACTCAAAACTCACTGCCATTGAGTTGATCCCGACTCACCACGACCCCTCCTTGGATTTCTAAGGTGGTATCTCTATGGAAGTAGATTGTCCAATCTTCTTTCTGAGGAGTGGATTATCTAAATACACCAGCAGTTCTTTCTTCATGAACACCCCTGTATTCCACAATGATCTTCTTAACAGCAACATGCAGGGAAGCCTAAAAGCCTGAAAGGAAAGGAATGCTCACCATGGCAGCCACCATGCTTATCTTCCATGTCAATCCACTTCACAGCTCTGAGGTTACCGATCCAGGATGCATTGGGCATGGAGCCAGGAACATCTGCAAAGTTGATTTAAAAAAAAAAAAAAGCAGAACTGAGAACCAAGAGAGAAGGGCACCAACTTTATCAATTAAGGTCCCAAGTCATGCTTATTTTTTTTCAGTATCAGTATATTATCTTTCATATCAGAGTTTTCATCACAAGTGCAAGATCACAAAGGCTTGTGGTGTGACTATTTGGTAGGTATAGACCTATAATATGGATCTACTGTTTTTTTTTATAACATATGCCCAAACCTGCAAAAAAAGAGCCCAAGAAATATCAGAATATGAAACCATAATACAGATGAGAAAGTTGGGGGTTTCTGGTTTACGTCCCAATGGGCTTTGGTTGAGTTTACATTCAATTCTAGAATTTAAAATTTTTAGGACTTTCCAGGGTGTGGTGGTAAGAAGCATGTGCCCTCTTCTAATAACATGATTTCTATCTTAAAGTGAGAGCGCAGGAAAATGGCTTCCTCAACTAAACATCTATGGCCTTAGTGCTAATGGTCAAACTGAGTCCAAGGTGTGTTTTCTTACATGATGTTGCAACACTAGGCATGCAGAAGGAAAACAGCTGTATACATAACAAACATACATAAATAAATCCTTTAATATAATATTCCTCTGTTGAAACACTTATTGAGAATCTAATACGGCTAAGCATCATGCTAGACACAGGGGATAGAGATAAGTAAGACCTGCTTCATCATCACCCTATGGAAAACGATGAACTTACTGGCCCAAGAATATTCCTTGAGCTTTGAATTTTTCCTAGGAAGACTGGTGTGCACTGACCCACCCATCTTTTCTTACTTCCATATCTTTTGATCAAAATTTCAGTTCCTTACCCATTACCTAATTCACCTTTGAAGACCTTTTCTTTCTTTTTTTCAGAAGTGATTGAGATATGTTATTTATTTGGTGGAAACAGTGCAATCAGAAGGGAGATTCAGAAGAACACAAGGGTGGCTGTGTGAAAATGGAGTCATGGTCCAGAAGTCTTTTGCCCTCCCAGATGCTGGGCTGGTAAAGAATTCTCTTGAGTGGCAGGAATGGAGTGGTTTACTGGGATGGGACAACTTGGGAAAAGTTGAGGTTATTAGAATCTAATAAATGACTGAACAGGCACCAAGAGTGTTCTGCCTTTCTGATACTCGGTACTATGCCATGTTTTTCTAAGAGTTAGCCTTTTCTTAAAAAAAAAAAAAGTCTTTAGGTTGCTAAGCCTGAGTTTCTCAACCTGGACACTATTGACACTTTGGGCTAGATAATTCCTTCTTTTGGGGGTTTTCCTGTGTATTATAGGATGTTTAGTAGCATCCCTGCCTCTTCTCACTAGATGCCATTAGCAGCCCCCAGCCCAGTTGTGTCAATCAAAGATGTTTCCTGACTTTGCAAAATGTTCCCTGGGGAAGCAAAATCACCCTGTTTGAGAACACTGTGCTAAGCTATCTCAAATAACTCTCTCCATCTCAATAAATTCCTAGATAGGCTACAGAGATTGACAAGCCTGTAATTATATACAGTAGTTATATGCCAAGATGATAGTGTAAAAATATAAAAGTCATTACTGGAAAAAGATTATATGGGAATCAACTTAAATGCCTCTTAATAGCTGCCACATTTTTACCAGTGACAAAGCAATCTGGACTAAATTTTTATGTAATGGCACTATAAAATAGTATCTCTATGCAAATTGCTTCTTAATTATTGATAAGATATATTATGCTAGGCAGAATAATGGCCTCCCCCAAAGATGTACACATCCTAATCTCTGGAAATTGTGAATTTATTAATAAATAAATTGTGAATTTATTATATTACATGGCAAAAGGGAACTAAGGGTGCTAACCAGCTGACTGTAAAGTAGAGAGATTATCTTGGATTATGGGGGGGAAGCAATCTATCTAATCACATGAGTCCATAAGAGTGGAAGAGGAAGAAGAAAAGGAGGTTAGAGTGGTGTGAAAAGAAAGTTACCTGCTATTGCTAGCTTTGACGATAGAAGAAGGGGCCATGAGCCAAGGAATGCAAGTAGCCTCTAGATGCCGGGAAAGGCAAGGAAAACTGTTCCTACCCAGAGCCTACAGAAAGAAATACAGAGTGCCAATGCCTTGATTTTAGCCAAATAAGATCTGTGTTAGACTTCTGACCTACAGAACTATAAAATAATGTATTTGAATTAAGCTGTTAAATTTGTGGTAATTTGCTATGGTTGTTGTTGTTATTTGGCTGTCGAGTCAGACCCAACTCATAGCGACCCTTCCTTGGATTTCCAAGGCAGTATCACTACAGAAGTAGATTACCCAACCTTCCTTCCAAGGAGTGGCTGGTGGGTTTGAACCGCCAGCCTTCTGGTTAGCAGTGAAGTGCCTTAGGCACTATGCTACCAGAGCTCCTATTTGCTATGGTAGCAAGTATAAAATTAATATACACAGTAATGAAAAAATATTACCTAAGGCACTTGACTGCTAACTGGAATGCTGGCGGTTCAAACCCACTCCTCAGAAGGAAGGTTGGGCAATCTACTTTCATAGTGATACCGCCTCGGAAACCCAAAAAGGGGTCGCTATGAGTCAGGTCTGAGTTGAGGGCACATAACAACAACAACAAGATGACAGATATTTTGTTTCTATTTTTCAAACTTTTATTGTGATTTGGCTGAAAGTTAGCAGAAATAAATAATAGGTAAAAAATAAACAAAACAGTTTATACACATTTTGTTTCATGATACTGACTGCAGTCCCCACAACGTAACAGCACTCTTCCCACTTCTTCCCTGTGGTTACCATTTTCCTTTGTCTTTCTCTCCTATCCCTTCCTGCCTTCTGAACTTTAACCAGAAGGTAGGCAGTTCAAACCCACCAGCTGTTCCATGGGAAGAAGATGAAGTAATCTACTTCCGTAAAGATTTATAGCTTTGGAAACCCAATGGGGGTCACTATGTGTTGGAACCGACTCAATGGCAATGGGATTGATTTCGTTTATCTGAAAGGAAGCTTTCTTGTTTGGTTCCTAGCACACATTTTAAAAGAATTTAGAATAAAACTTGCCATAGTTAAATAGGTGAGAGGAGAGGGAGAGTGGAAAAGCAAAGAGATAATTTGGTATATTTAATTATGTCATCAAGATCGGCTGATGTGTATGTGATTTTTACGACACTACACCTCACTGGCAACTAACAACAATAACTTTGATTAAATAACTACATCAGAAAAGGGTGAATAAAATATTTCCAGGGTAAAAATTCTCAACCTCTTTTAAGTGATTATGTCTTTAAAATGACAAGATATTTTTTCCATGTTTTTCATTTCCATTAATATTGATAAGCCCAAACAGATTCTGACTCAGAAACACATTTCATTATTCATTAGATATAAGATTCTTGATATTTATAATTAATGATCCTCCTTCTTAAAAATAAATACATGCATCTATTAACCTCCTGCGAGATCTGGTAGCATGGTGCCTAAGGCATTTGACTGCTAACCAGAAGGCTGGAGGTTCAAACCCACCAGTCATTCCTCGGAAGGAAGATTGAAGGTGGTGAGTTTGGTTTTTTTGATTTATTAACCTCCCACTAATGAAATCCCAAACTTCACCTTCTATACTTTGTTTGATGGCAGGTCTCAAATATGTCTATGCGTAAGTATCATTCATGCATTTAAAACAGGGCCAGGAAAAGGGCAAATATAAAGTTGAATTCTACTTTGTGTTTTTTGCAAGCATACTGAGGTCACAGAAATGCCTCTAGGAATGGGGAGAGACTCCTACTTCAAGTGTAGCTCCTGGTCTGGGAGCACTGACATCACCTATAAGCATTACCTAGAAAGATGTCTGAAATGACATATGGATTCTCAGGCCTCATCCCAGGCCTCCTGCCCCACCCCACAAACTGCATCTTCTCAAGAGGCCAGGGGATTCCGGGGCAGAGTCAGGTTAGTGAAGTTCTGGGCTGTGAGCAACACTGTGAAGAGGACACAGCTTGTGCTGGGAGCTCTAGCCTTTTTTTTTTCCTTCTGTCCTTCAAGTCTTTCCCTTAGCCTTCATTAGATTTCTAGGTTAGCTTCTTACTTGCTCTTCTGCTGTTGTTAGGTACTGTTGAATCCATTCCAACTCATACAGCAGAGTAGAACAGCCCCAAGCAGTTTCCTAGGCTGTAATTCTTATGCGAGCAGAGCAGATTACCAGGTCTTTTCTCCCACAGAGCAGTGGGTGGGTTCCAACTGCAGACTTTTCCATTAGTAGTTGAGTGCTTAACCGTTGCACAACCAAGGCTCCTTACTTACTCTCCGAGTCTCTCTCAAAATCTGCTTTTGGATAGTCTGGCACTATACCTTAACTTTTATTCTTTGGTTAATTTAAGTTACTTGTGCCCACTCATGGGAATATATGCATTTTAATTGTTGTCAGTTGCCATAGAGTCAGCTCTGACTCCTGGTGAGTGACGCCAGGTACAACAGAACAAAATGGTGCCTGGTCCTGTGTCTTCATGATCACTGGGGTGCTCAAGTCTACTGTTGTGGCCACTGTGTATTTTGGTGGCATAGTGCCTAAGGCACTTGACTGCTAACCAGAAGCCTGGCAGTTCAAACCCACCAGCCACTCCTTGGAAGGAAGGTTGGGCAATCTACTTCTGTAGTGATACCACCTCGGAAACCCAAGGAGGGGTCGCTGAGTTGGAGGCTCATCTTCTAGCACTATAATGGACAATACTCTGTCATAAACCATAAGGTTTTCATTGGTTGATTTTCAGAAATAGGTTGCCAGGCCTTTCTTCCTAGTCTGTCTTAGTTTGGAAGTTCTGCTAAAACCTGTCCACCATGGGTGACCCTGCTGATACTTGAAATACTGGTGATATAGCCTCCAGCATCCCAGCAACTGGTAGCATAGTGGCTAAGGCACTTGACTGCTAACCAGAAGGCTGGCGGTTCATACCCACCAGGTACTCCTCAGAAGGAAGATGGGGCAATCTACCTCTGTAGTGATACTGCCTCGGAAACCCAAGGAGGGGT